AATTATTTGTAATTATTTGTAATTATAGTTTATACATTCTTTAAGTCACCTCTGTTTGGTATTGGAATGTAGATTGACCTCCTCCAATCTGTTGGCCCACTGTGTCATTCTTCAGATTCATTGGCATAGTATGATTAGAAAGTTGATTTAATATTTGAGATTGTGTAGTGTGTGTGAGAGAGAGTGGTGGGATTCACATTTTTTTTAGGCATGGCTAAGGAGGGTGTCATGTGACTGAGTAGGCATGGGCATGAGTGACATCAAGTTGGCCACATGCGCTCAGTCACATGACACCCTCCTTAGCCATGCCCACAGAACTGATAGTAAAAAAAATGTGAATCCCACCACTCTCTCTCACATACACTACACAATCTCAAATATTAAATCAACTTTCTAATCATACTATGCCAATGAATCTGAAGAATGACACAGTGGGCCAACAGATTGGAGGAGGTCAATCTACATTCCAATACCAAACAGAGGTGACTTAAAGAATGTATAAACTATAATTACAAATAATTACAAATAATAATAATCTTTGCCATGGTGGCAAAATTATGCTTATGATCATTCAACACAAATTACAGTCCTGTATGGAAAAAAAGATGCCAGGTGTTCCAGCTGGCTTTAGAAAAGACTGAAGAAAAGAAATCTTAATGCTGATGTACCATAGATAATTAAGAACATCAATGAAATACCAGAAATAAAATTATACATTTCATTGATTATAGAATGGCCTTCAATTGTATTGATCATGTCAAGTGGTGCAATGTGCTTGGAAAAATAGGAATCACAGAATATTGTCTTCATGAGGAACTCATATGCAGGCTAGAAATTCAGCGAAACTCAATTTAGACAGCATATGCTGAAACACACTGACTCCAGGTTAGCAAAGGAGACAAAGCTATATACTCTCCTCTTATACATTCAACTTACATGCTGGATATGTATTAATAAAAGCTTTATTGGAAGAAGATGAACATGGTTTAAAATTGGAAGAAGAAATACCAGTAACCTGCACAAAAAACACAAAGGATTTTCAAGCTTTGGTAGTAAATCATAAAAGGCAACCATTTCTTGAGGCTGAATATAATCCTGAAATCAGATCAAGAACTATCTATACTATCTCTGCAATATACATTTATTAATATTTTATTTGGTGTAAACTTCATAGAGGAATTGCATTTCCCAACCAAACGTTGAATGTCATTGCCAATTTAGATATCCGGATGAGTTGCCCTGAGTAGCAATGCCCATTGCAAAACATCACCAGTTGTGTCCCAGCAATTAAGAGGTCAAGAACACAATGAGTCAAGCTCTCATCATCATAGGTAGAATTGGGATCATCCTTGCTCTACAGCAGGGGTGTCAACCTCGCATCATCACAGCATCATCATGTGATGTATCAGGACTTCCCCCCCTTCGCTAGTTCGGGCAGGGCAGAGCCAGCATGTGACACATCCAGCCCATGGTCCACAAGTTTAACACCCCTGCTCTACAGTATAGATAACAGTGAGAAAGGTGAAATGTCATTTGTAGACATTTTCCTATTATTACCACTTCTTTCCCAAACGTGATGTTTCCCCTTTCTAGTTCATGGTGCTTTTTCTCCAAGGAGATTGAAATTGTAAACTAAACCATCAGGATGGAACAAAGCTAGAAACAGTGAATATAAAAGTAGAATATATTGGTGAAATACAAACTCTATAACTTCAGTCCAACTAAATATTTGGAATAATTTAGACATCTTGGTTCAGATTGTGCCAATCTGAAGAATTGACAAAACTGTACAAAACTGCAGAAAAAAAAATCCCCTATTTCAAAGCTGTGTGTGGAAATTATTATTTCTTTTATTACTTCAAAATAATATCATCTCTTTTTCTTCTAGTGGGGAATAAAATTAACCAATCAAGCAAATGAGCTCTGGGATGAAACGATGTGGCTTTTCAATTGATGCTTGTCTTTATTAATCATCATTTCTATCTTTATAATTATATACTAGTATATAACAGAATGTCAAAATTAGAAGGGGCCTTGGAAGTCTTCTGGTACAGAATTCCCCAGCTTTTATGGCTTTGTGGACAGGTGGATGGGAGAAGGGATGGTTCTATGCTAGTGGCTGGCAAGCACACATGCAACTCCATTTGCATGAGTAACATACATGCACATATGCTACTCACATAAATGGAGCAAGCATGCTTGCCCACTGTTTTCGCAAGTGAGGATGCATATGCACACATGCTCACTCACTGGCTGTATCCATGGCCTGTTTGCAAACCTCTAATGGCTGCAGTCCACAGGCTGGTGACCCCTATTCTAGTTCAATCACCTGCTGAAGCAGGAGATCCTATATCACTTAAGACAAACAGCTTTTCAATCTCTTCTTAAAAATCTCTGTTGATGGAGCATCCGTAGTATTGTATCCCTTCCCAAAATTCCAGTGGGTTAATACAATACTTAACATGTTTTTACCTATCTCCAACCTTTAAATAGAAGCAATTTGGTGATGTGATGGAATGTAGTAAGGATGTGGATTCCTTGGAGGGAGGGAGGGCATTCCAAAGAGGTGATTCAATCCAGACATTATCTGTGAGAGAAAGAGGGTAAAGACAGTTCCCCTCTAATAGTATGCAGAATATATTATAGATGCAGAAAACAGAATGCTTAGTTCCCCCCACCTCCAAAAAAAAAATTCTATTGGTATGAAAAAATAAAAGTTTGGAAGAATCACCAACTGTTGTTGGTTTTGGGTATGACACGTGTATTGACTACAAACTGGGAGACCATGTGATCTAGCCCTGCCTTGGGCTCAAAGTAAGCAATGTGATCTTGTGCCAGTGAAGGCAATGCAAATCACTTTTGAAAATCTTATCCAGAAAACTGCAAGGACTTAACTCAAGGACTTAACTACACAGACTCAAAGAAGCAGACACAATTGAACAAAAGAAAATGCATTCAATATACTCTGTGGTGTGTCATTGAATTGGTTTCTTCGGCTGTTAAAAACAATAAATCAAAGTAATAAATGGAGCCGTTTTGGTGAAAGGCAGGAAAATGGGGAGGGAGATTCTCCTGCCTGTCACCCATTCCTGAAGCTCAGCACAGATTGGAGGAAGAATGGTAGGTAGGAAAATCCCCCTCCCCATTTTCCTGCCTTTCACCAAAACGGCTCCATTTATTACTTTGATTTATTGTTTTTAACAGCCGAAGAAACCAATTCAATGACACACCACAGAGTATATTGAATG